GCAGGGCTTTACTGTAGCTTTGGAGCTTGTCTTGGAACTCGCTCTATAGACCAGGCTGGCTTCGAACTGACAGAGACCCATCTGTCTCTGCCTCCCGAGTGCTGGGATTAAAGGCGTGCGCCACAGGTGCTCAGGCCAGAGGATGAAGAGTTTTGAGGCCTGTCTGCTACATGGTGAGACTTTGTCTGAGTATACAAGGAGGAGCTGAGAATAGCTAGCTGTACCTGTAATCCCGGTACTTGGGAGACTGGCGTTGGAGGATTGCTGAGGCTACAGAATGAAACCCTATCTAAAACACAAACAATGTGATCCTCACAGAGCTTCACTGCCCCATCTGTTTGCTCAGTAGCCACCAAGTACAAATGCCACTCGGCTCATTTAAAGTCTGCTCCTGTTTTGGGATCCTCAGGAATACACAGACTTGGTCATTCCTCAAGCTTCCTGATGTGGAGCCCGCATAGTCCTACCTAGCACAGCCTGTGGGTTGTGACTGGTTCACGACCCCATTGGGAGTGACCTTGTGAGGTGAGGTGACCCTTTCACAGGGGTACCTTAGTCTATCAGAAAACACAGATATTTATATTATGACTCCATAGCAGTATCAAAATTAGTTATGAAATAGCAACGAAAATAATTTTATGCTGTGGGGTCACCACAGCATGTTTGCAAGGGTTGAGGCATTAAGAAGGTTGAGAACCACTGTTGTAGAGGACATGAGTGATGCTGCTGTCTGTAGCACTCTGACTTCCTCCTCCAGCATCATCATGGACTCACTGAGCTGTGGGCTTTCACTGCCTTAGGACATGCCCCTCAGACTAGACTTGTAGCTGTTTTTGTTTCCCCATGCTAGGGTTTCTTTTTACTTTTGGGGATGGAGTCTGCTCCCTGTTTACTGACTAAGTAAGTTCTCTGCCTCAGGAAAGGAATTCTTAAGCTTTTCATTAATTTTTTTTTTTTTTAAAGGGTCCTGGAGAGATGGGTCATCTCAGCTAAGGCGTTTATTTAGGTTCTTCCAGAGGACCTGGGTTCAATTCTGCACACCGACCTAGCAGCTCACAACTGTCTGTAACTCTAGTTCTAGAGGATCAGACACACTCTTCTGACCTCAGGCAAAATACTCATATACATAAAATAAAATAGAGCCAGCATGGTGGTGTACACCTTTATTGCCAGCACCTAGGAGGCAGAGGGAAGAGAATCTCTGTGAGTTTGAGGCCAGCTTATTTTACAAAGGGAGTTCAAGGACAGTCAGGACTAGAGAGACACTGTCTTGAAAGGCTGAAGAACAGTGTTTTCAAAAAAAATGTGCGTGTACGTCTGTACATACACCAAGTCATTGGACAACTTGGGGTTTGGTTCGTTCTTTCACACGTTGGTCTAAACCCAGGTTACCAGACTTGGGAATAAGCACCTCTTCCTACTGCGCCATCCAGAAGCCCATGAAGACTTTTCAGACTAACGTCATGTCCTCACCACTCTTCTCTACACAGGAGCTAGTAGAGGACGAAGACGATGACTTTTTGAAAGGTGAAGTGCCCCAGAGCGATGCAGTGATCGGCCTTACCCCGAGCTCCTTTGACAGCCACTTGCGAAGTCCTTCCAGCAGCTTGGGCTCCCCACCTGTGCTGTATATGCCAGACCAGTCCCCTCTCATCTCCAGGATCTGTGATTGAGCTGAACTGTTCTCCCCAGGGCCCTGAGCCCCACCATGGACACCACATTGGGCTAGTCTGTGCCTTGTATATCCAACTTCCATGTTGGACTTGGGCCAGTGTCTGAAGATACCCAGACAGGGTGTGTTGGCAGTTTGCTCCTTATGGACAGAAGGAAAGACCAAGTATCATGTGAAATATTTCACAGTGGGCATAGCAGTAAGTGCTGATGCTTCAAGTGTTGGCTTAATGTGGAGAATCTGCCTGCAACCTCCTGATGGAGCTGCTGAATGCTTGCTAGTGTCAGCCGTATCCCAGCAGATGACCTTTTAACAGGTTTCTTTTTGTCAGAGACACAGTCACATGACTTTGTGGGTCTTGTTTTGGTGAGAAATCTTCAGGATCAGCCCTGCCTGTAAATACCCTAGACACTGCCTGTAGTGGTGTAATGGTTTCCTTCTGACTAGAAGGGTATTTGTGGTTGGGTATAGAGGGAAAGCGAGGCAGGGGTGAAGTGCTGAGAGTTTAGGCTGCTTTCACCAGGGCAACACAAAGCATTGCAGAGGGCAAAGAAGCCGGGGGAAAGAGGCTTCAGAGAAGCAGGAAACGGCACTGGTGCAGGAGAGTGGATCCGACCTGAACACAGGTGCGTCAGCTGTACCTCGAACTGACCAAGCAGCTTGGGGGTCTGAACCAGTTTAATAACTGTAGAGCATGGACTCAGCCTGGAGAGCTGCTCTCATCCCAAGCAGCAGGTCTGCTTTGTAGCAGGCGTGTGCAAGGACTTCAGAGGTGTCTGTCGCTGGGATCCTTACATGTAAACCTTGTATTTGTGAAAATGGCCCTTTAAGTATATTTAATTTTTTTTTGCCACTTGTACTTATTTAAAGGCAGCAATATTTTCTTGGTCACACCATTTTTAATGGAATTTCTCTCATGTCATTGAGGGCTTTAATAAAGGTTGCCCACCACGGTCCCGTGATTGGTGTGTTTGAATCTTAGCCTCCTGCTCCATTAAAAGGGGGTGGGATGGGCTAGAACCAAATGGGCAGTGGTTAGTTTGTTCCTGTGGTTGGATCAAGCCCATGAAAGCACTTTAACGAAATTCTGTGCTATCTGGGCATTGTGGTACACCTATAATTTTAGCACTCGGGAGGCTGAAGTAGGAGTATTTTAAGTTAAAGCTAGTCATAGATATATTTTAAAAAAGCCAGACATCTATGGAAGAAAGTGAAGTCTCCTTGTAGCGGGGGAATTTCTTTTTGGTACTGAGGAAGGGAACCCTGCAGGGTCTTAGACTCACACCTATCCTGAGGTGAGAAGAGTTGGCAAGCGTTACAGCTGTGTCCTTGGGATTGTCAGGAGACTGGGGGGCTCCGCATGCTGCATGCTTTTTTTCTAGACTCCGAGCCTCTGTGGCTCAAGGGTGCATCATATGCTCTCCTACATATTTCAGTCACTGTAGTTCGGGTCCTCAGCTCCATTATGTCTCCGTGTCTGGCTCTCATCTCATACCCAGGCTGTAAGCTGCAGTCAGTGCTTTGGGATTCTTGCACTATTTACTAAGTTTTTACATAATGCTCTTTTAAAACATCTCACTGGGGTTGGCGATGGCTCAGTGGTTGAGAGCACCGAGTGCTCTTCCAGAGGGCCTGAGTTCAATTCCCAGCAACTATATGGTGGCTCACAACAACTTATGATGAGATCTGGTGCCCTCTTCTGGCCTACAGGCAGGATACTGTATAGATAAGTAAACAAATCTTTAAAAAGAAAAAAGGGATTGACCTCAGACTCTGCTACAAACGTTCTCTTCCACTGACTCACACTGCTAGCTTCCCATATCCAGGTTTTAAAGTTACGTACATTTGTCGGCAGTGATGGCACAGCACACAGGAGGCAGAGGCAGGCGGATCTCTGTGTGTCAAGCCCAGCCTGGTCTACAAGAGCTAGTTCCAGGACAGGCTTCAAAGCAACACAGAGAAACCTTGTCTTGGGGGGGGGGGGGGGGGATGACATTTATGGAGACCAAAGTTCAGTTTAGCACTTTCTACCTGTAAGCGCTTAACTTCATTATTCAGGAAACTTTCAAATTCCTGCCTTTGGGTTTGTATCACATATGTGATTTAAAATATTTACTTATTTATTATGCATACAACATTCTGTCTGTGTGTATGCCTTGCAGGCCAGAGGAGGGCACCAGACTCCATTACAGATGGCTGTGAGCCACCATGTGGTTGCTGGGAATTGAACTCAGGACCTTTGGAAGAGCAGGCAATGCTCTTAACCTCTGAGCCATCTCTCTAGCCCCCCACATATGTGATTTAAAACCATAATTGGGCTGGAGGTAGCTGTCAACATAGTACTTGCTCCTTTAGCAGAAGTTCTGCTGATAGCACCCACATCAGGTGCTCACAGCTGCCTGTAATCTAGCAGTCTGCTTTTTTTGTGCCCTTGTACTCACAGAAATCGTAATAATAAAAAAAGCCCCTTAATCTCAGTACTTGCGAGGCTAAAACAGGAGTATCATGAATTCAGGATTAACCTAGGGGGGTCTGGAGAAATGGCTCAGCGGTTAAAGGCACTGGCTGCTTTTCCTAAGGACCCGGGTTCAATTCTAGCACCCACATGGCAACTCACAACTGTCTAACAGGGGATCTGGCATTCTCACACAGATACATGCAGGCAAAACTCCAATGTACTTAATAATTCCTGAAAAAAAAAAAAAAGGTTAACCTTGGTTATGCAGTGACTTCCAGGCCTGCCTGAGTTTTAGAGGGAAACCTGTGCTGTGATTGATTGTCCTTGGAGCACAGGTTTCATTCAAACGCAGATTGGCTCGATCTTTGCTCAAGGGGTTGTTTCGTTTTCCTGCTTCCGGATTGGTTGGTTTTCTGCTTAGTTGGTCAGGGGCAGATTTGGCTCTGGATCCAGGTCCAAAGTGTGTGTGTGTGTGTGTGTTTTCTCCTTTTGGCTCTGATTTCAGGGCGGGCCAGGGTGTTTTTTTGGGGGAGGGGCATATAATTACCCTACATATGTAATTATATTTAATTCTGGGAATGCAGGCTAAGGGAGACAACATAGCAGGATCAAAACCCTGTCTTAGCCAGAATTTGACTTTACTTGTATTATTTACAGCCCTGAGAATATGTTACGGCGATAGCATTGGCCTTGAGTCACACAGGGTTTAAATTTAGACCCATCGTTTAAAGACAAGTGGCACCGTCTGCGGCCATGTAAGGGTCCTAGCTTTTCTGCCTAGGGCGGTGAAGGGCGATGAGGAAACAGAGCTGGGATTTCTGGTCCAAGCGCCAGGGCGGCCCTCTTTCTGCCTCACCTTTTCCGGCGCACCCACCGCGGTGCCTGCTGGGCCGCAATCCACGCGCTCCCGGCGACTTTTGCGCTGGCTGGCAGCTGAAGTAGGTGGACGTTGGTTAATTGAACACACTTTTGAGAATCAACACGGCCGAAGGAGGGAGTCAGGGCTGGGTGAAGCAAAGCTCCCGTGGGCTCCGAAAGATGCGTACAGAAAGCTCGGACAACGTACCCACAGTTTGGACTACATCTCCCGTGACGCCTTGCGGCCCATAGGCTTTTCCTCGATCCCTCGTCCCGGCAGTCTCCGCGGTATGCGGGGCGCGGCGCCCGCGGTGGGCGTGGCATGAGGCGAGGCGGGGCGGACGGCAGCCGCCGACGGTGGCGGCGGCCTAGGCGATGCCGCTGCTGGTGGACGGGCGTCGAGTGCGGCTGCCGCGGTCTGCTGCGGAACTGGTTCGAGCGCACCCGCTGCTGGAGGTGAGCGGGATTGCCCGGGCCTGCGGGCAGGTGGGATCTCCGCAGCCCGGCCTCGTGCTTTCACAAGGGATCGACTGAGGCGGGGCCCAGAGAGGTTAGGTGCCTTGCCCAAGGTCGCACAGTGCGCGGCCGGCGCGCGGGGACGGGGCCTTGTCTACGTTCGGCGGGATCCGCAGGTTGAGGCGCTTGAGCGGCTCCTGGCCTTACACAGCCCGGCTGCGGACAGGTGCGGGCGGAGTGCCCAGCCGTCTGCGAGCCCATTCCTGTCCCCTGCGGCTTGGGGCGCCTTGTTATTTTTAGCCAGAAGTAAGGGTTTCGCTGGGAAGTTGCTAGGACGGCGAGGACCGCGTCCTGATGGGTGGGTGGGCTTTTGTCTTCTTTCCTTGCGGGAACTTCTGAAAGAGCGCTCCGGGAAGGCAGTGGTAGTTGTCAGCTCACCCATGGCTCACATAGTGCGGTCTAGGAGAGGAGGATGATTCCTAATCAAAGAATTCTTTTAAAGACCCAGTTATTGCCTTGAAAGATGTCCACTTTGACTCTGAGAGGTGAAGCCCAGGAGCGTGGGGTTAGGGAAGGCATTCTAGAAGTTTCCTCTGATCAGAGGTCCTGTCTGCTTAATTGCTGTTTTCCCCTGGATTGCTTCCTGAAGCAAACGCTTCCTGAAGGCAGATGGCAGTGTGCTTACAAAATATTTGTTGGGTAAATGAATGGGCAGAATGACCCCTGAGAACCATGGGGCAAGGAGACTGTTACTGTTAGCTTGAATTTCAGGACAGCCATCCTGCCAATCGGGCTAGGCACTGTTCCCCTTTCCTTACAGTGGCACTGCCACTGGGTCGGCGAAGCCAGGAGTAAAACTCATCAAAGAAAAGTTTAGTCCACCTCAAGGATTCAAAGGACTCTCTCCCATGTCTGCTTGAAACGTCTAGTTTTAGTGGCCACGACAGCACATGAGAAGGCAGAGATGAGGTGACGTGGAAACCTCCGGAGGCAGGATTTTGGTCTGCCTAGGGAGACAGCCTAGAAGGGGAGGGAAGGGGTGGCAAGGAGGCCCCTGCGGGGAGAAGGCTGGAGTGTGAACTGCATCCCCAGTGGTTCACTTTCTTTAGGATAGTGTGTGCTCTGGAGAGGGAAGTTGAAAATTGTGTCCTTAGTGACAGCCATTCTTCTCATGGTTTTGGTGACTTCCTCACAAGTGTTTTTTTGGGACAGGGGCTCTTTATATACCTCTGACTGTCCTGGAGCTTCATGTGTAAACCAGGCTGGCCACAAACTCACTGGCTTGCTTGCTTGCTTGCTTGCTTTGCTGTGATACACTGTTAAAAAAGGTTTGAGACAGGGTCTCATTGTGTAGCCCTGGCTGGAGCTCACTGTGTGGCCTGCCTCCAGCTCTCAGACTTTCTTCTGCCTCCCAGATGCTGGAATTAAAGGTGTGCACAAGCACGCCTGATTTTATTTATCTGTGTGCACTGTGTATTATCTGTGCACATGGGTGTGGGTGCTTGTGTGCACAGGGGCCAGAAGGTGGCATCAAGTGTCCTCCTCTTCGTTCAGTGCAGTTCCTTTGAGACAGGGGTCTCCCTGAATATGCTGTCTTTGATTTCTCTCATCTCCACCCATCACAGAGCCGGGTTACAGGCATGAGTGGGAATGCTGGCACTTAACCTTTGGTAGATTTCTCAGCAAACAATTTTAACTACTGACCATCTCTGTAGCACCCCCCCCCCCCCTTTTAAAGAGAGAAAGACAGGCTGGCCTTGCAGTTGGTCTGGGTCCGTGCTGACCTTGGATGCCTGAGGCCTCCTGCTTCAGTTCCACTGTGGTAACTCAAGGTGTCATCCAGTGTGCTCATCATAATACACTTTCTGATTGACAGCATGCTATATATTGTTATTTTTTTTCTTGGTTTTCGAGATAGGTTTTCTCTGTGTGGCCCTGACTGTCCTGGAACTTGTTCTGTATACCAGGCTGGCCTTGAACTCACAGAGCTCCACTGTGCCTGGTTCCTGTGTGTTTCATGTCAGCATTTTGTGAACACACAGCACCAGCTGTAGAACCCCTTTCTGTAGCTGGGCTTCCTTAGTCTGAACATTTTAAAAGGAAAATTCCAGAACACTAACTGATACTGTCATGTCCCCCTCCCCACTTTCTATTTTGAAAGAAAGTCTCACTGTAGCTCAGGCTGATCACCAACTCATGATCTTTGCGGCCTTCCGGGCTAGCGTCACAGGCGTGTGCCACCATGCCGACTAAGAATTGTGAGGCACATGCCATCAGAGATGCTACCAGGGCAATCCCATACTGCTACTGCTAACCTTGTCTCCACATTTACTCACCAGTGCTGTCTGGGTTCAGGCACCCAGTGGCCAGCCACAGTGGAACTGGCCCCACACTGTTCCCGACAAGATGAGTACCTTTGCTTTTATTTTCTAGATTGAGGGCTGCAAAGAGCAGGCACACAGTGTGGTGGTTTGATGAGAATGGCCCCCACAGGCTCGTATGTTTGATGCCTGCCCTCTAATTAGTACAACTATTTGGGAAGGATTAGACATGTCCTTATTGGAGGAGGTTTGTCACTGGAGGTGAGCTTTGATGTTTCAAAAGCCTGGGCCAGACCCAGTGTCTGTCTGTCTGTCTGTCTGTCTGTCTCTCTCTCTCTCTCTCTCTCTGCCTGATCAGGATGTAAAGCTCCCATCTGCTGCCCCAGCACCATGCCTGTCGGCGTCCTGATATAAACCACCCCTCTAAAACTGTAAGCAAGGCCTCAATGAAAGGCTTTTTTCTTTTCTTTTAAATAAGCGTTGCACTGGCATGGTGGCTCTTCACAGCAACAGAACAGTGACTAAGACTGACCGTAGCAGGTCCCATGCTTAGAAGCCAAGACTGGGGCCCTGCTTTCTTCCCGTCACTTTGGATGTTGTGTCCTTCAGTACAGCAGCCTCTTGCAACAAGGGGCACCCCTGTAGGTGCTAGTGTTCAGGAGGCCGAGGCAGGACAGTATGTCTCAGGGTAGATAATAGTGTGTAATCTTGAGTGGCCCAGTGCAGTGCTCCTTAGTGTCTGCTGTTGTGGGGGTGGAGCCCAAGGCTCTACACACGCTAGACATGCCTGCTTCTGAGATGCCCCTAGCCCTGGGCTCTTTAGGTGGTAGGAATAATAATATTTCATAACAACAGATTACATGAATTCATGGAGGAGCCATATCTGTGTGGACCTCAGGGCTTGTCATCTAGTCATTCTGAGAGAGAAGTTTGCTGGCCACCAGCAAAGAAAGTAGTGCCATTTGCTAGGCTTTGGGAAAGTTCGTTAAGGAACTGAGTGAACATGAATTAAATACCAAAAAATATGAGATGCCAAGACAACTGGGCCACTGTTACTTTAGGAAGTGTAGAATGGGCAGCTTGGCTCAGTGGATGAAGTGTCTGCTGGGGAAGCACAAGGACCTGAACACGGATCCCAGGACCCCTAGAAAAAGGTTTAGGGTGCTTACATAACCCCAGTGCTGAGGGGTGGATCCCAAGTGCTGGGTGGCCAGCCAGTCTAGGTAAAATAGTGCGTTCGGGTTCAGTGAGAAACTCTGTCTCAGAACATTAAGGAGGGCCGTTGAGATGGCTCATATGGTAAAAGTGTTCGCTGCCAGGCCTGATGACCCGAGTCCACGCTCTGGAATCTGCATGGTGGAGGGAAAAGTAACTACCAAGGGTTGCTGGGTGCCCACTGCGTGTATGGAGCCACACACACATATGAAATAAAATGAAATTAAAAACAGGTTCAGAGTAACAGGAAGGCACAAGACAGACCTCCCACACAGGCACGCTTCACCCTCACAGGCCCCACATGACGTCTGCATCCTTCATGCTGCCATGCACACAGTGTCGTGAAGTGAAGTGGGAGGAAAGAGCTACACTGTCCTGTGGCGGCGTGTCTCTGGCCGGTCGCCTTTGCTTTCGTTTCTTGTGTTTGTCTTTGAGACAGCCACACTCTGCCTTACACCTCCAGTGTTGGGACTGTGAGCATGAACTTCTGCCTCTGCCTTCTTATACTTTTTAATAACATATTTTATTTACACTGGTATTTTGCCCGCAGGTGTGCCTGTGTGAGAGTGTCAGATCCCCTGAACAGGAGTTACCGGACAGTTGTGAGCTGCCATGTGGGTGCTGGGAATTGAACCAGGGTTCCCAAAGACCAGTCAGTGTTCTTGTCCCCTGAGCCATCTCTCCAGCCCCGACTTGCTTACAGTCTAAAGTGGTAGTGATGCACACATGAGGTAGGAGAGGACAGCCTGAACTACTCTGTCTCAAAGGTCAAGTCTCAGTCAGATTCTTGAAGAACCATGGTAAAGGATTGGGTGTCTCTCCCAGGCACTGGGATCTTACTCATATGTCGCTCCTATTCAGGGGGAATGTTCCTGCTGCCTTTCTCTACCAGTCTCCAATGGCCAGTGCAGCACAGTTCAGATGCCAGCCTGCTTCCCACTTCTGAGTAAACATTGGCTCTTTCCATCTCCTATTCAAGCCTCACTAATTCACACAACTATTTTATTCTGTTTCAATTAAACAGGAAAGAGCCAGACTTCTCAGAGGTCAGTCTGTTCAACAAGTGGGACCCCAGGGCCTTCTGTATGTTCAGCAAAGAGAGCTTGCAGTGACCTCCCCAAAGGATGGTAGGTTAGGAAGCAGTGTGTTGGGCCTTATTCCAAAGTCTACTGGCTATTTTATGTTATTTCTTTTTGGAACAGGCTCCATCTCCATTCTGGGTTCTGATGATGCCACTACTTGTCACATTGTGGTCCTGAGGCATACAGGTATGAAGACAGAGATGAAGGAAACTCTTCCTTAAACTATCCCAACCATGTGCAACCACTGATTTTTTTCAGTTTGAGTTTCCTGTTGTAGAATTTGAAGTCATGCAGTTGGATGGCTGGGGCAGACAGACTGGGGGGCCAGTGGCAGTGGCACCAGGATTTATCCCTACTGCTTGTGCCAGCTTTTTAGGAACCTGTTCTCTTTGGATGGACACCTTGCTCAGCCTAGATATAGTAGGGAGGGCCTCGGATCTTCCCCAGAGCAATGTGCCTTACCCTCTCTGAGCAATGGGGGGGGGGGGGGGGGGGGGGAATTGGAGAAGGGGGGGGGGAACTTGGATTGGTATTGTATAATGAAAAAAAGATAGTTTTTTTTTCTTTTTTTTTTTCCGAGACAGGGTTTCTCTGTAGCTTTGGAGCCTGTCCTGGAACTAGCTCTTGTTGACCAGGCTGGCCTCAAACTCACAGAGATCCGCCTGCCTCTGCTTCCCGAGTGCTGGGATTAAAGGCGTGTGCCACCACCACCCGGCTGTTTTCTTTTTTTAAAAAAAGAAAAAAACAAAAAGAATTTGAAGTCATGTCTTTCTTGTTCGCATGTGTCTCCCTGGTGCCCTGGTCAGATGGGTTGGCTGGGCAGCATGGACCCTTTCCGTTTTCTTATAGTGTATCTTGCTTCCTGGAATATAAGGACTAACTCATTTTCCCCTTCTTCTCCAGGTAATGGGGCGACCTGCCTCACACACTGTGATGGAACTGACACCAAAGCCGAAGTCCCCTTAATAATGAGCTCTATAAAATCCTTTTCTGACCATGCTCAGTGTGGAAGGTAAGTCCGTACTGCTGTTCTATGGACACTGCCGGGGTGTCCTGCGCTTGTACACTTTTAGCATGGGTGGTGTCTACACTAGGCTGGATGGAATAATGGGGGGACATTATTGTACTGGACATTTTGTTGAACAGGGCTCACTATGTAGTCTGGCTTCAAAGTTATGATCCTCTTGCCTCAGACTCCATGGTGCTCAGATTAGTGGATGAGACATGTCAGGCTTGTGTTGACTTTGAACTTGTGTAAAGTTGGGATCTTCGAATCTTAGAATTAATTTGTTATATTAATATTATTCATATTAATTTCTTCTGTGTTTTTGTGAGCAGCCACTTGTTCTATTGTCTGAAGCAGAGAAGGAGGAGGCAGGGTTGGCAGTGACCATGCCACACTCAGCAGGCCAAGAGTTTGAGCATGGGTGTAGGGTAAGAACCAGTCCAGGCTGGCTGCACCTCAGCATTTCATTGTTACCCCATCTGTGACACGTGGTCATGTACCAGAGCCACACAGCTAGTTAAGTTCTGGCCTTTGACCCAGGCCTGGCTGTCACTTGCTCTGTTCTTATTACACTGGCTCTGATTTTTCTTGGCAGCCTTTAAAAGAACTAGTACAGTCACATACAGGTGCTTAGAATCACAGGGACACTTACTAGTTAGCTTTATTCGTTCAATAGGTAAGTTTTAAAAAGTGAGGGGTGAGATATGTACACACCTTTAATTCTAGTAGTGGGGGGTAGAGGGAGACAGAGAAGGATCTCTTAGTTTGAGGGCCAGTCTGGTCTACATGGTGAATTCCAGGCCAACCTTTTCTCAAAAAATTAACCACATTTAAACTTTGTGTGTTGCATGAGTGTACACTAGGAATTGAACCCTGGGCCTTGCGTGTGCTAAGAGTGTGCATTAGCACGGAGCCGTTTTGTAAAATGTAACTCTCTTGGCTTGGGTCTGTGTCACAGGCTGGCTGGCTCCATAGTTTTTGACTTGTGAGCTGTGAAATCGCCTTTTCCTGTTGTAGCCCAGACTGTTCCCACAGTCCTCAGAACACAGTGTTTATGTAGCAGGAGCGGTGGGCTGCGTTCCCGCCCAGCTCCACATGGCTAGCTTTACCCGAAATAATTACACGGAAACTGTATTCTTTTAAATACTGCCTGGCCCATTAGTTCCAGCCTCTTATTGGCTAACTCTCACATCTTGATTAACCAATTTCTAATAATCTGTGTAGCACCATGAGGTGGTAGCTTACCAGGAAAGATCTTAACCTGCGTCTGTCTCCAAAAGGAGAATCATGGCGACTGCCTGCCTCGGCTTCTTTCTCCCAGTCTTCCATGACCTGGGAAATGATGGAGGAGGGTCATATGTCTATGGGTTAATAAGGAAACTGCCTTGGCCCTTTAATAGGACAGAAAATTAGGTAGGTGGAGAAGACAGAACAGAATGCTGGGAGAAAGAAGCCGAGTCAGGCAGTCGCCATGATTCTCCTTTCGGAGACAGACACAGGTTAAGATCTTCCTGGTAAGCTACCTCGTGGTGCTACACACATTTTTAAAAATGGGTTAAAGCAAGATGTGAGAATTAGCCAATAAGAGGCTGGAACTAATGGGCCAGGCAGTGTTTCAAAGAATACAGATTCCGTGTGTAATTATTTGGGGTAAAGCTAGCCAGGTGGCAGGAAGCAGCCTGCCACTCATTCTACATGTTTAGTTATTCTCTCTGTGGAAATCAGGGCAGCCTGACAAAGTGGTAGCAAAGCCGCAGTGCTCCCAGCCCTTCCTGCTCTAACATTCCTAGTGAGGCCATCCAGGCCTTGTCAGACACCACACCCTGCACAGGCTAGTTCAGAGGTGTGACGTACACCACATGCTCCCATGGTTATTGGAGTGGAGGAAGACAAGCAAGGGAAACATGGGGTGAAGCAAAGTTTGAACCTGTCTCAGCCCTGCTGTGTGCATATGCATTATGACTGTTGTAGGGAGGGGCTTCCTACAACTTCCCAATGGATCCTGTGTGTATGGTAAACCATACTGTGATTCCTAGGTGTAGTGGGATGAGAGTACCCCAGCTCTCAATTAGTGGGTTTCTGCCCCTTTCCAGCCTCAAAGCCCAGATCCTTTTAGGTGCAGGTGCTGAGAAGTTGTAGAGTGTTCTGTATGGGTGGCCAGGTGACACTGCACTGATGGCCCTGGGCAGGGCCCTCAGAGCCTTGCTGCTGGCCTTGGAAGCCTCATGTGCACCCCATTGTGCCCACAGGTATTTTCATTATATGATGTAGAAAAGACCCAGAAGCATGCTGTGGACGTTCATGGTAGCCAGGAATAAAATATCCATGAAACCCGCATACAGTCATGTCATGTCTAACTCTGATCACTTCCCTCTCTTGGCAGGCTGGAAGTGCACCTTGTGGGAGGCTTCAGTGATGATAGGCAGCTGTCACAGAAACTTACTCATCAGCTTCTTAGTAAGTTTGCCACCCCCTCCTAGTTTTGTCTGGTTTAAAAATTAAAAAAAAAAAAGGTGCTAGGCAGTGGTGGAACACATCTTTAATCCCAGCACTTGGGAGGCAGAGGCAAACAGATCATTGCAAGTTTGAAGCCAGCCTGGTCTACAGAGCAAGTTATGGAACAGCCAAAGCTACACAGAAACCTGCCTCAAAATAAATAAATACATCAATAAGTGGAACGTAAAAAAGCTCTCTAGCAGTCAGATGAAGCAGAGGCAGGAAGATCATGAGTCTGAGACCAGCCTGGGAAAATCTGTCTACACTGAAGACACAGCCATGTGGATGGACTGTATAGACTATACAGAGTGTAGCATGGATCTAAATTCCCAGGTGCTGGTGGGATAGGGACAAGATCTCCCCCCATTTTTTCCTTCTTTTCTTTTTTGGTTTTTGAGATGGGGTTTCTCTGTATAGCTTTTGAAGCCTGTCCTGGAACTCACTATGTATACAAGGCTGGCCTTTAACCTTCAAAGATCCACCTGCCTCTGCCTCCCAAGTGCAGGGACTAAAGACATGAGCCACCACCGCCTGTCCAAACTCCCCCCATTTTGACAAGGCGATGTTGTTGAAGCCCAGGCTGGCTGTGGCCTCGTGATCACTGTGCCTCAGCTGAGTGAGAACTACAGACGTGTTAAAGATGCTCTTTTAAAACAGCAGTTGGTGAATGCTTCAGAAAATGAAAATAGCACTGCTTATCTTTTCTACTAAATAAGAAGAGGCAGACGTGGTATATATCAGTTGTGAAATAGGTATATGCTAATGCTAGACCTGCACTGGAGCACTGGAGCACCTGTCCAGCAAGGAAACTGCACTGTGGCTTAAGCCCTTTAAAGGTTCACATCCTTTGACTCAGTAACCACCCGTCTAGAATCCATTGTGAGAAAGTCATCTTCCAAGGTTGCAGAAAGGCTGACAATTTGGCTCACTGGGTAAAGGCTCTTCCCACCACACATGATCAGAGTCTGGTGTTTGGGACCCACATGGTGGAAGGAGAAATCTAATTCTTGTATGCTGTCCTCTGATCTTCCCATGTGATTCATGGCAAGGCGTGCACACATACACACAATATGTAAAATAAACAAACAAACAAAAAAAAAACCAAAACCTTGCACAGAGATTTTGATTTAAAGATCAGTATTCCAGCAGTTCTGACATCAGGGAATAAATACCCAGTGTCCTGAGAAGAGTTAGAAAGTTTCTAGAAGTTGTTACCTACTGAACCAACCAGGTCTGGAGGGTCTGGAGGTTCATGCTTACAGCTCAACATTTGGGAGAAGACTGAGGCAAAGGGCTGTTCGCTCTTAATCGGCCTGTTAACTCCATGGGGAAAGCCTGTATCTAATAAAAGCAACTGGGGCATGAAGTTCTATGGTGTGACGAGCATCGCTGTCTGTTATGAGCTCAGCTGTGCACTAAACTACAGTGCGGAGTGGGCATTTAGAACCTACTCTCTTCTGTCCCTTGTCTAAAAGCATTCACAAAGTTTGCTCTGTTGGCTGGAGAGATGGTCAGTGGTTAAAGGCACTGGTTGTTTTTCCAGAGGACCCAGGTTCAGTTCCCAGCAACCACATGGTGGCTCACAACTGTCTGTAATACCAGTTCCAGGGGATCCTGTAACCACTATTCATATGGCACACATACAATGTAGGAAAAACATTTATACACACAAATATTCCTTTTGTTCTAATAGACTCAAGAAGAGTTGGTCTTCTCTTAGGACTCCACCTGATGTGGGTGCTGGGACCTGAACCCAAGTCTTCTGCAAGAGCAGAGTAAATGTTTTAAACCACCGAGTCATCTCTCAGCCATCATGAGGCTTTTCACAGTAGCCTATATTAATCACACATAACAACGGTTTACTTATGTGCATGTGGGCACTCAGGGCACATGTGTACCATAGGAATGGGTTTTCTCTTCTACATGTGGGTCCCAAGGATTGAACTCAGGTTACGGGTGCTCTACAGATTGAGCCTTCTTGCTGACCTAATCTCCATCTTAACTCCCCCCCTCCACCACCTTATTTTTGAGACAGGATCTCATGTAGCACAGACTAACCTTGAACTTGAACATGCCAGTTTCTGTAGTGCTGGGGCTTGAACCCATAGCCTTGAGTGTGCGAGGGGATGCTAGGCAATTACAGTATCCGTGAAACTACAGCCCCATCCCTAATAGGACATTTTCATGTATATATATATATAATGTATTTTGATCATATTCACATCCGTTACTCATTTTTGGGCACTTTTTTGACATCAATTTTGAAATTCTAATTGTAGGTGAATTTGACAAACAAGATGATGACATTCACTTAGTGACATTATGTGTGACAGGTGAGTTCTGCTGCTTTCACCCATATGGGTGGGTTCAGGAAGGTTTTGTGCGTCCCCTTACTACAGCTCCCATCAGGGTAGAATTGTAGAAGACACTCTAAAGAGACAGACTGTCACCTCAGGATGACTTGTCCCCACCACTCCTTGTCACTTTCAACACCAGGTCCCACCCAGCTAATGGATGCTCATGCTGATGTCTGCTTCCTAGGCTGTCAGAGGTTTCTCTGTGCTCCTGGGAAGGGAGCGTGCTGGTGAGCTGCCCTTGTGTGGCAGAGGCAGGGCCTGCTGCTGGCCCATGCTGGGCTCTGCACTGACGTTTCCCTTCACATGTACCAGAACAACTGTTGAGTGCTCTCACTTTCCTTCATTTCTTAGAATTAAATGACCGGGAAGAAAATGAAAACCACTTTCCGATCATTTATGGCATCGGTAAGTAGTGTTTGTATTAGAGGGCTACATGGTTTCCATGTGGGCTAAAAGTCTGAGTGGCAATCACTGCATCTGTACCACTGCTGGTGGTTGGGTCCTTGCTCCTGTCTATTTTTACTGTGACAAGTTAGTCAAGGGGCTATAAGGTTAATGTGTGGAAACTGCAGCCTAAGTTATGAGTACCCCACACCTACCCCTGCAGCCTAGTGTCACATGGGTGGAGTCAGGCACGCTTTTCTCTCGCAAGTGCTCACGGGGGGGGGGGGGGGGGGGGGGGGGGATATGGGGTATTTGGATCTTTGTATGGGAATGAAGTAAGGTTTTGATTCAGAATAAAGACAGTTGAACTAAAGGAAGTCAGCCCTGAGGCTGACAAGTTGCAGAGGGCTTCTGGTGTGCCCATGGTGTTTAGCTGAGTGGGTGCGGAGGGCACAGGCACTTCTTTATTCTTGTCACTTTTATAGCTCTAAAATAAGATGGAAGTCCAGCAGCCTTACACCAGTGTCTGTGCAGAGGCTGTCAGCACCTCAGTCCCATCCTTCCCTGTTTCTGGTTCTTAGGTATGGTGGTAGAAATGTGAAGTCTATTGCCAATTTAGAGTCACTCCTTCTCCCTTGCAGCTGTCAACATTAAAACTGCAGAGATTTACAGAGCTTCCTTTCAAGATCGTGGCCCAGAAGAGCAGCTTCGTGCTGCGAGAGCTTTAGCAGGAGGCCCGGTGAGTGAGAGCCCATCTTTGTGGGATGGGTAAAGAGGGAACACCAAGGGACTCAAGTTTTTAGAATGTTGGAAAGTTGTGGCTATCTCCTTACCAGGATTCAGTATTCAGTCCACTTCCTCATGGGTTAGAGGAATAAGGATCGAGTTTAGGTTCTAAGTGCTAGATACTAGATCTCTGCCTGAAAGATGGAGGTGGTAGTAAGAGCTAGAATCTATGGATAAGGCAAGACCGTGAGGTACAGGCCAGCCTGGGCTTATGTAGCTTTTAAAATAGATGCCAAACAGAATCTGGGGAGATGGCTCAGTAGGCAAAGTGCTTGCTGTCTAAGCATGATCCACAGCACCGACATAAGCTGGGCGTGCTGTGCATGCTTCCAGGCCTGGTGCTGGGGAGACAGAAGACTGATTGTTAGGGTTTGCTGAGTCTGTAGCAAGCTCTAGTGGAAGACCCTGTCTTAGTTGGCAGAAGCAACGGAAGACACAGGGCATGGACCTCTGGCCTCACATAGGTGCCAGCACCCCAACTGCCGCAAGCCCAGAGATCTGCTTGTTTGTGCAATTCTGACATTTCAGTAAGAAGATGTGTGGCGTTAAGAGATCTGTTTCTGCCAGTCTTTTACCATTTTCTGGAGTCCTAATTTTGTTTGATATGGTCTTGCTATGTATGTAGTCTAGGGTATCTTGGAGCTTTTGGCGAGTCTCCTGCATCAACCTCCATCAACTACTATGACCAGCTTGGTGGTTTTTCTTTCTAAGACAGAGGATTCCATTGCAGCCCAAGCTGGCCTGGAACTTACTGTAGGATTCCTTTTGGTATTTAGTAGACTATATTTCAGCTTGAGTACCCTCTTAAAGCTAAAGATTATCGCTGGCATAATTCGGGAATTCAAGGAATGGGTCTGTTGGTAAATCAGTTTCTTCAGAGCCAGTTGTGGTGGTGCACACATCCCTGTTACCCCACATTGTGAGGTGCAGTAACAAGATGAGTTCAAGCATTCTTGGCTGTTGAGTTCAAGGCCAGCCCGGGCTACATGAGACCCTCTCAAAAACAAAACAGGCAGATCTCTCAGAGTTTGAGGCCAGCAGGGTCTACCAAACCAGATCCTGTCTCAGAAAACAAACAACAAAAAAATGAAACCAAAAACCCCAAACCTTTCTTTTATGCTTTCTGTGAGACAAGGTCACACTGTCATCCAGGCTGATCTTCCTGCCTCAGCCTCCTGAGTGTTGAATGGCAGGTGTGAGCTGTCATACCTGGGCACCAAGGCATTGTGAGCTTGTTTATGTTGCCTAACTAGCTGCTTGGGGTAGGAGTAAGGAGGTGTGATATTTGTGTAGCCATGGGGAGTAACAGGCATTAGTCAGACCTGCCTGTCTTTGAGGCACTGCTGATGCTCACTAGACATGTGACCTGGGACCTTTCTCACCATCCTCTTCCCCTTAGAAGGGCAGCGCTGTCTTCTTGTAGGCTTACTGTCAAAACATAGGACCAAACCCAAGGCAGGCATTTGGTGGTGGCTGCTTTGTTATTACAGGAGGTCAACATTTGCAGTTTATCAGCTAAGGGGACAGACTTGGAACTAGACTATAGCAGTGGTAGGGCAGTGTCCTTACAGCCTGTCATGGAAATGGTTCTTTTAGATGATTAGCATTTATGATGCAAAGACAGAACAACTTCGAATAGGCCCGTATTCCTGGACGCCATTTCCACATGTGGATTTCTGGTTGCAGCAAGATGACAAGCAAATACTAGAGGTGAGAATTTACAGGTTGGCTAAATCTTCAATCTCTGGACCCTGGTTTCCCCATCCGTAAGAAAAAAAAAAAAAGGTTTAGACCAGCTAACAGCTGCTTCTCCTTCAGTGGGTGAGATTGGCGTTCTTTTGCCATTGAGAGACTAAAATTTATGGCAGTGGGGGATTAGTACTGTCTTGGCAGATGTTACAGGCGAAGTAGTAAGCAGTAAAACGTGTGTAACTCAACAGATGTACAGAAGCTGAGACCAGCCTGGTGAATGTGTATGCAGCCCAAAGCTACTCTGACATTGTCATCCAGCGGGGGAGGCGCCTAGCCTGGCCCTCTCATGCCCACTGTCTTGTCTTTTCAGAACCTTTCTACTTCTCCTCTGGCCGAGCCCCCCCACTTTGTTGAACATATTAGATCTACCTTGATGTTTTTAAAAAAATTCCCATCTCCAGCAAATATACTGTTTCCTGGAAATAAAGCTCTCCTCTACAAAAAAAATGAAGATGGTTTATGGGAAAAGATCTCCTCTCCAGGGAGCTAACACCAGAGTTACCAGAGAACACAACTGTTTGGCTCAGCAGATCATTGGCGGTTTGGAATCTACGTCTGTGCAGCAGTTTTACCTCTTCCTTGCTTACTGTCTTTCAAAATAAAATCTTATTTTGGCAAAGGCATTTTAGATGATTTTTTGCTTCACTACAAAGTGAGGAACAGAGGAAAAACCATTGGCCTTGCATTGAGAGACAGGTTGGTCAGGAAAAACCCAATCAGTGCGTGTTGGCAGGTGCCTTTAAATCTTGAGTTCAAGGCCATCCGTTTCACAGAATGAGTTCCAGGACAGCGAAAACTACCAAAGAAATCCAGTCTTGTTTAAAAAAAAGGGAAAAGGAACTTCCTAGCAAAACTTACCAGCGCTAGGCAAGATGAAAGGTTCAGAAACAAACAGCTGCTGAGTATGATTTTGAGACAAGCTCGCGGGGTGCCACATTCGATCTGAATCCCACAAAGTGAGAGAAACTTCTTACATATGATGCTACTAAGATGCCCAATTAGGGTTATGGAAGTTACTTTTTAGGAACTGTTCTGTTACCTGATGAAAAGTAATGTTTACACCAAGCTCACAAGTAGTAATCTCAAGAGCCTTTATTTAAGCCAGCATCAGATAGTGTCTCAAGGTAAAATTCTGTTGCAGCAAAACCAGGTAACAATTTCCAAATGTATAAAAACATTTAAAAATCAATCTGTTAAAGGTGATAATTTACCCCTCCCCCATGTCACCTGCTATATACTTCATTGCATCAAATAAACAGGGAAGACTGTATTTAATCATTTGCACCCCCCAAAAATGGAAAGATTGCATTTTGCTAAGTGGCAACTGTCAAAAATCACATCAAATCAGTGGAATTATAGGCTTAATGTGGTATAACTAAGGCTTCCAACACTGCAGTCCACCGGCCCACCATCTTAGCATCTTCCATTGTTTGACTTTAGGGACTAGAAAGGCACGGGGTGGGGCATCTTAGGGTACTGCTGGTGATGCAGTACTTGGGAAATAGAAATGAATGAGAATTAGGTGGCAAGCCTGGAAGAGGCAACTTCTCTGGTTCTTTCTGGAGCTGGGCCCAGGGTGAGCAGAAGAGAAGCTGCAGCTGACCATGAAAAGCAGGTCAAAGGCTTGCTTGCTGCAGCCTCTACCGTGCTGCACAGCAGACGACAGGAGGCTCTTCATGGTGCTCTCCAGGGGGCTTTCTGTGCTAAGTAGACCCAAGCACAGGGCATGCTGGGCATGTTGGGCGCCAACTTAAAGGCATTACCAGTGTTTAAAATATACTTAAATATGGTCAGGAAGAGATCTTACAGTTAGTTACTAGTAACAGATGAGTGTTTACATTTGTTTACAAAGAGTGTATAAGGAGAAAAGGTGCAGCAGGGACAGTTCTAGCGCCACAGCGCATGTGTACACCATCCCTCAGAGGCTTCAGGTCCTACTGAAACCCATTTCCTGATGCAAGCCAGTGAGGCAAACGTTTCCCACAACCTGCCTGAACTACAGACCGAGTAAGACTGAAGCATGGGGGAGAACCTGGAGAGACACTGCAGCCTAGAGAAAGAGCAGTGTTTCCAGTGGAAAGTGCTTGAAATCCACATGTTCTCTCTGTACAACGGGTTTGTGGTATATGAAGAAAGGGGATGCCAAGGTTGGGCAGGCCAAAATAGTCAGTTGTTGGTTCTACTTACACATAAAATAATTGCCCCCCCCCATAAAGCCTGGTTTTCCAGCATGTTTCTGTGCAAAACTCCCAGTTTAGCACAGACGACAGAAATGTCTATCATATTAGCATGTGGCACAGTTCACATTCTTCCCTGAAACAGTCAGTACAGGCGAAGCCCAGTGTTACTGAGGTTTATCTTAAGCGTTCCAGCCCCTCTACCTGGGGGTCCTCATCTTCCTGGGCCTTGTTCTGCAAGGTCTCAGTCTGTCTGGCCGTGGGGGCAGGGGCCGTGGAGATCTGCTCAGGGCAGTGGGCCTCTGGGCTGCTGTGCTCTAGCCCACTGCACAGCTGGTCCACCTTTTCGAGGTCTTCGATGTGGCTGACTGAGCTGGTCTCACTCACAGCATCTGAGCCTCTCAGAGACCTCTTAAAAGGTTTCTGGCCTAGAGAAACAAGATGAACCACGATGAAACTGGTGGAGACATCCACAGACAAAGGTGCTGTGGTCCTGCATGGTCATTGATTTGGCAGGAATGCTGGAATTTTGGTTTGCACTTTAGAGGTGAGGCAGGAACTAAAGAACACAGTGACACCAAAGTGCTCCCCAGGCCAGTGCTTCTGTGGTGCCCCTGACAGGAGTGACGACCTCGGTTAAAGTAATGCTTGCCTTTGCAGTGCCATGGAGACATTTCTTTGGAGCTAAATCTCAGGTGCCTGAATTGTTGTTTCAGCGAACGGAATGGAATTTTGGATTACAGAAAGGAACATAAGGAACAACAAATAAGGAGCCTCAGCGGCATGTATGAGTCTATTCCCGAAGTGGAACAGAATTGGTTTCCTTCTGTTAATGAAGGTGAACTGTGGAGCGGTTTAACCCACCTGGAAGTCTCTGTTTGCTTTGAGTGCCTGAAGGTGTTGGAGGCGGTGTCACTCCTGTACCTTGTACTTTGTGGACGTATGTGTATTCTGTGGATTCCAGAGAGCCTGTCAGGAAAAGAAAGGAATGGCAGAAGCTCCAGGCACTGCTATCCTGAGATGCCATTTGTCCTCAAATGGCTTTGTGTCTTAACCGGCTTCCCACTGACTGAACGGGAGCAAACCCAGCCTGCAGTTGCTCCCGTCTCTCCCCAGGCTCTTCAGCTCCATCAGTGTGTGCAGTGTGCTGAGACCCTCACTTTAGCAATGAGCAGATGCTAACATTAAAGGCTGAGGTCTGCGATATAAAATGTTCCTTGATCGTGATGTTCTGAGACAAAGTCTCAGAAAACCCTAATCCTCTAGCTTCGTCCTCCTAATGCTAGGATTACATCCTTCTGCCACCATAACAGGAAACTCCAGTGATACCTTTGCTATCATGAGAATCTAGAGAAGGAACAAAAGAAGAAACATCAAAATTTGGGGAGTATTTCTCTTTTTCTTTTTTAAATTGTTTACATATATTTTAAAGATTTTATTTATTTATTATGTATACAGTGTTCTATCTGCATGTGTGCCTGCAGGCCAAAAAAGGGCACCAGATCTCATTATAGATGGTTGTGAGTCACCACATGGGTGCTGGCAAGTAAACCCAGGACTTCTGGAAGAGCAGTCAGTGCTCTTAACCACTGAGTCATCTCTCCAGTTCCTGGGAGTATTTCTTTAATAGGATAGGAAAGGATTCACTGCCGCTAGTATCTCCCAACAAGTTGGAAACATTGCCAGTCACTGGTTTAAAATAAATACCGTGTGCTACAGCCTTTAGGGTCCCCTTTCAGAAAGAGCCATGTCCTATACAAAGTGCTCAGGAGGACTGCAGGAAACAATAGTCCTATGCCAGTGTCCATGGTGCACTGTCCCCACATGTGGGCCTGTTGGATAGGCATGTCCCTTTTCCAAGGAAGAGCAATGTGCATGCTGTGGAGTGGCTGCTTTCTCACTGTTTCAGCAGGGATGGGGGAGATGACATGGCAGAGAATCCGGGGAGATATAAAGTATGAAGTGTACTAGGAGATAAATGCATCTGGTCAAAACTTAAATAACAGATCTAGGCATAGACCAGTTGGAAGTCCTACCTGCTGTTAAGTTAAAACTTCTTCCCTTTTGTGAAGCTTGAACTGGAGAAAACCAATTGAGGACGGACCCTACTACAGGGATCTGCCGCAACACTCCCTGCAAAACAAGCCTTGTTTAGGATAACCTGCTGAGCGTGCTTTGCCAGGATCCCAGCCTGGAAAACTTCAACCCTAACCCTACCTCTTCCAGAAGTCGTTCCTCATTTGCCTTCTGGAGTTGAACCTGAGCCTCCTGAATTCCCTTCCGAACGACTTCTGTCATGTTCTCTAGAAGCTGCAAAACCAAAGAAGATACTGTTTGTCTAAGCTTCTTGCCCAGGGCCTAGAACTACTCACAACCCACAGCATTGGTAACATTTCCCAACAAGTATGCCAGTAGATGCCATTCTGCACTGAAACACTTGAGCAAAGCTAAATAGAAAATTAAACAGAAGATGAAAGCTCATGCAGGCACAAGCAGACAGAAATTCCTTGTTTGGCCCCATCTGTCAGAGAAGAGAAATAACTAGTTACATTCTAAATGTTTTATCAATGAAAAGCAAGCACTGTTTAGTGCTGAGAGAAAGTCAGAAGTAATAGCCAAGCCTGGGAAAAACCCAAAGTCTAACCAACAGTGAACACAGCCAAGCTCCTTGGCCTTTTTTCAAACCTCTTCATCCCCTCTCTACCCCAAATGAATTGCAGCACATGCATCTCTGCTCTCACGCAAGGGTGGATTGGAGTCCGACCTCTAGCCTTGCAACTTTGTCTCCCATGCTACCAGACCAACAGAGGAAGGTCTATTTCTGGTGGCATGGTCCTTATCAGGAACACCTATGTTGGTGTCCTTAGCATCCAGCTCCTTTTAGTAAGTCTCACCTCAGTGTACACAAATGTGAGCAAGTCCCCAAATGCTCAGCTGCCCTAAGCCACAACATTTGCTGTACTGCTTGGTTGTACATGGCACTTCCTTCACACTACCTGGTGAGGTCATTGGGACAGCAACTGTGTCAAGGCCACTTAGCACTCCTGATGTCTGGCACAAGACCTAGCTCACATCCAGGAAAGAATGAAATGAACAGACATTCCCCAGTGTTGTATCACAAACTTTAGAAAAGACATGAAACACTGATTCGTCTTACAGACCCTTGAGTTTTCCTCGATTTCCCGGGCTGTAACTGCAATGGTCTCCACTAGTTCAGAAATATCCACATCGTCACTCGCCATGCCAATGTAAATGCAGCTCTTCGTGCCTTTGTACTCAGGGCCTGGGGGAAGAAACAGGCAAGGCTGGCTCCCAAGTCCTCAGGTTTGTCCTGACAATGAGATGACAGCAAAGGAGCCTTCTTCCCAGGAAGAAGAAGAAGATGCTGCTGACAAAGGAAAGGAAGGCTGGAGAGCTGGCAGAGGAAGGAAGACCCTACTAGGAGA